GAGGGGGGAAGGGGGGGTGGGAGGGGAGATAGTAACATCTTTCTACACAGAGGAGAGATTAGCCACACTTGATAATAAGACGGTGTGCTGTACTGCGGGGAAATAGGAAAGGCAAGAGACGGCACTTTTTTTCTCTTTCATTATGTGCTCAACAATGTACAATGGATTAAACCACCTGTATGCAGGAGCCACGATAACAGTGATGAAAACACAGCTAAACGTCTGCCTCCCACAATGCACTTCAAAGCACATGGTTTCCGACATGTCAGCTCAGGTTGGTAAACGTTGTGATTGATCCTCCCTCAGCCTGACGGATCGTGTCTTTGCCTGCCGCCATGGAGCAAGCAGTCGTGGAAGAAGCTTTCTTTGCATATGAAAAGGAGGGAAGTGATATTTGAGGTGCGTGTGGTTGGACAGCAGATGAACAAATATAAGAAGAAAACTTGTATTTGTATCCAAGCAGGGTTATAAACTCACTGTTGGTGCATATGAAAGAAAACCAGCCTTGTTTTAAAGGTCCAATCAATATGTTATAAAATAAGTCGGGAGAAGATGGCCGTCTGCAGGAGCGTTTTTCACCTTACAGATTTAGAAGTCACCCCAGCTTTGCTATTGTTAGCAATACCGGTTTATAACAACGCTTTATTTAGTATTTTGTGAATACAAACATGGTAGCAACATATCTACAGACGGAGCAGTACCATACAGTATGTACACTTAATTTAATGTGAAACAAATAATGCAGAACAGCTACAAATGTTATCTTCTGACGTTCATATGCAGAGACGCCATTTAAAAAAAAAAAAAAATTATTTTCTCACATTCCCCTTTACATCCAGTAGTACTCAAATGTAGATGAACAGTTTCTTTAACAAGGGGTCACAACATGTAGTATTTGGAGCCAAAAACTTCCGAGACATGTTTTGAATATATCTGAGACCTATAATATATTGATGGAAAACAGTATAATAGGGGACCTTTAAAACCTCATATTTATATCTAATCCAAGGTCCTTATGCCTCTTGCTGGATTAGCTTTTGAAACACTGGAGAATATGAGTCTGGAAAGAGAAGGGGGGGGGTTGTATNGGGGTGGTTGTCAGCTGGTTCGGCCCGCTCCACTGAAGCTCGGCGGGGGTTAGGCCTCCGGTGCTTTCAGGTGATTCCAGGTCAGTGGGAACTGCTGGAGGTTCCACGTCGACACTGCTCATGATTGGCCGCTGAAACGCACTCAGCCAAGCTTTATGTTGGAGCGCAGGGGAAGAGAAACAGTAGAGGAGGAGGAGGAGGAGGAGGAATGTATACACAGGTCAACTGTCAGCCTGAGCTTTCATCACATGCTCCGATGTACAGGATAAAGGCATGGACTGGGGCCTGAAATAATTCCCATTTAGTCACAGTCAAGTGTGAAATACACACAGCGTATTAATCGAGCTAGAGCTTCCAGTTTTCCTTTGCAAAGAAGCCTTATTTCCAACAATACGGGGTGCATACGGAAGCTTTCTAAGCGCTCATGTTGCCCGATATCCCTTATTACTTTACCATGAGAATGGATGGAAATACAGCTCCAATTATTTCCTACTCTTTTTATTTTCGCCTTATAGCCAATGCCTTGTTTTAACACGCTGCTGGGACGAAAACATTTCCCATATTGAGATCAATAACGTAAATCTTTCCATATATCGCTCAAGATAAAGCAGTCAACGGCAGATCACTGTGTTTCCGTGACCTCTTGGTGACATTAATTATGATTTCTATTTGTTATGACACCATCATAACAATGTTTTTTGTATATTTAACAACTGTCCTAGCAAGAGATGGTTTGATATGAACAGCCTTCTGGTTGGACTCTATTTCTGAGTGATTGCAAATGTGCACATGCAACTAACTAAAACATTGTTTAGCAGATTACATATGACTTTCATCCCGCTTGATTGCTGTTGAAACATCACATAATTCCACGTCGGCGGCCAATTGGATGCAAATGTCACCGGTGAGCGTAGAACTAGAATACTGTTTTGACTGCCGCTTGTGCCAGTTACTATAATTACGTTTAACACAGAATGTCAAATTGCTCTATATTTGGCGATGATTTTTTTTCTCCAGGGCACATTTGGCTCATGCTCCGCTGCTCCTAGAACATGCCTGTGCATAAGTGGGCTGAAACTTAACCCCTTACCGGCCGACGCTCAGCCATAACACAGACTGGAGGAATGCCAGGCCGCTGCTGTTAAACAAAACAATATCTGCGCTGAGACCATCCAGACACTTTTTTTTTTTTTCTTTGGCACTTTCCTCTCCAGGTAATGTCACGGCTTCAAGCATGTTGTAATAGAAAGAGACACATTGTGTAACGGAGTGTATTAGTCAGTCTCAGGTGGCGTCACACACTTTCACACACGCGTATTTACGAGCAGAGGTGGGAAGGTGTGAAGTACAAATATTTCGTTACTGTACTTAAGTACATTTTCCTGGTATCAGTACTTTACTCCACTACTTATTGTTCGGACGACTTTTTACTTTCTACTTCTTACATGTTGAACCCAAATACCTGTACTTTCTACTTGTAAAATTTTCCAAACAGGCTGGTTCCTTTAGTTTGAATGTGTGTTTGGTGGCGTGATCATTATTATTTAGAGTCATTGCGTGCCTATTGATTTGAACACGATCCGTGTATCCATCATTTCCTGGTCTTCTCTAAAGAAGAGGGACCAATGAAAACGTTGTCATGTTGCCGTTGTTCAGCATGGAAACATTCATTAGCTAACAATGACATTATTGTTCTATTAATATAAAGAGAGGTCAGGTACTCTTTAAAACAGCTGCTAGTTATGGGTACTTTTTACTGAAGTACATTTCAAAGCCTCTTTACTTTTACTTCAGTGAAGAAGTTTAGTCAGTATTTTTAAACACGAGTATCTGTACTTGAGTAAAGGTTGTGTGTACTTTTGCCATCTCTGGTATTAGTCAGTTTCAGGTGGCGTCACACACTTTCACACTTACATATTTATGACAAGTGGTCACACACAAATGTAATGGATGTTCCCACGCCTACATTTATGAATGCGCAAACTTCTCCCCAACACAACACTTATACACACCCAAACACACCCCCCCTCTCTCCTCTGGCAGCCTTTCTTCACTTCCTCCCTGGATTTGTCACCACCTCACCGGTTGTTTCACAATCATTGTGCCAGGCTCGGCGTTGCCTCGTTCAGTCAGTCCCATCAGAGTTAGCTCACACTCTCCTTTCAGTCCA